CCGTGCATTTGGTACCTGGGCCTTCAGTGGAGACTTACCCGACTTAATTCACCTCTTAATACCACCACTGTACGTCGCAATTATAGAAACCATCAATGCTATACAAAAACGCAATATAATAAAGTGTGGCATTACAGAGAGAGAGGAGTATTTCGCGTATTGAGGGTGAATACCGTTTTTACTAAAGCAAGAAACCCAGTTAAGTTACATGGACCAGCACTTCTGATTCTGAAAGCCCTGGGCAGATTAGATTGACATGGCAACACATAGAGGCTGAAATCTGATTGGACAAAAAATCTAACATCCACATACACCGATTAAAAAACAGCCTGGTCTACCATAAATATTACCTCGCTGGTGTCCAAATACAATCACCTTTATTTGGCCAAGTATGTTACACACAAGGAATTTGTTTCCGGTACAGAACCAATGGCAGCCATCTGCGGCGCCAACTCAACTGATGGCTCTAACCATCGGGGGCAACGGGGGGGGTTCAATGTCTTGCCCAAGGACACTTCGACATGTGGACTGTAGGCACCGAGATTTGAACCTCTGACCCTCCAGTTGGGAGACGACTGCTCTACCCACTGAACCAGTCACCCCAAATACCACAACAGGCAGAAAACACTGCCATGCTCAATAGAAACATTATCCTGTCAGTTAGGGCTGTAAAGACAAACTGATATGAATTGGAAATCAATACAGGAGTCAGATCTATGGCTGCATGAGTTGAAAACCACAGATTCAAACCAAATTCCTTTAATAAAACGGTCTAAACCTGATATGGACCTCTTAAAACGATCTTTGGCAAGTTTTCTGTTAACCTCTCGCTGTGCTCTGCTCTAGTGTGCAACACACCATCTCCTGCCATTCAATCTCATTCCTACTTCTTAACTATGCAGGTCCGGAATAAAAACGCCAGGAACAGCACAGTCAGATGCAGGAGCAGACGGTGCCAGTGTTAGAAGCTAACGTTATGTTCAGGGTGCAGAACATGCACACGCTTGTGTTGAGTGTACCCACAGGAGTATCACCAACCTCGCAAGGAGAAACATTACGAAGGCGACACACTGTTGAACTGATGAAAACAGGACAGTTTGCTGCGAAGGGAGTCGGCTTGAGGCAAGTAACAGTGCTAGTGTTAGCAGCTACTGTCAGAGCATGTCAGCTGATAACTCCACCTGCTGGGATCTGGACAAACAACTGACTCTGAAGCGGAGACGCACAATAACAAGTTAGCAGGATTTAAGGGGAAAATGGATTTTAGCTCTGTGTGATGAGGTGAAACAGCAGCTGGAGGTTTACTGTTCACCAGGGCCCAACGTTTATTGTTAGAAAGAGTAGACATCATGTTTTATCTAATGCTATTTGGCTTTTGTTGCTCCCAGCACAGAAAACAGGGAAAACTGTCTCATCAGTTCCTGTGAGTGCGTGTGAACTACCTTCAGCCGGATGTACAGGACCCAGTTTCCCATGCCTGTGCACCGCATGGCCCTGCAGATCTCCTCTGGTGTCAGTGACTTTACTTTCATAGGATGGAGTCTCCTGCTTCTGTCAGCTGTGAAGATGTCAAAAGGTTTATTAGCAGCCAGCTGAGGGAAGGTGGACCTCAGCAGGTCCAGGAAGTCCACCTCCCGCAGACCACGAGGACACCGCAGCTCCTGCACTGGGTACTTCTTAAACACTGAAACAGAGGAGAATCATCATGAGGTTAGCAGTAAAATTTTATGAACATCTGATGGTGATAATCTACCCAATAAAATCCCATTTAGAGCATAAAGGTCTTCAGCCATCCACACTGCAGTTATTTATCATTCTAACAACCTGCAGCGATATGAGATTTGATTTATTTATTCTTTCAAGCATGTAAAGACAGTTGATATGTCAACACACATAATTTTACACATATCCAACAAATGCTAATCCAATATCAATTTGCTTATACCTAATACATGCTTGAATGGAGTAGGAAGAAGTCAGACTTATCCAGTCCTACCCCATGACATCATCTTACATCATTGGTTTGCAAGCAGTATCTCTACATAAATAATTATCTTCTACACCACACAAGTAATATACTAAAAAAATATTACAAAGTGTTAACATTCATACACCACACCCACAATGTTCCATCTAATTAATCATTAAGCCTGTTCTTGCATATATCTTGATTGACACATACCTTTATATTTATGTTTAAACTCATCAATTCTATTACTATTTTTTATGTCCACACTTAAATTATTCCATAGTTTTACCCCACTTATGGAAATACAAAATCTTTTTTTGGTTGTACGTATAGCATGAACTTTTAAATTTAACTGACC